TTTCGATTTCCTTTTATTGACTCTCTGCTTACCAAAGGGAAGCAATCCGTATATTATTTTCATACACTGAACACTACTGGACAACAATTCTATCGATGAACTGACATGATCTAAAACGTACTTAACACTACTGAACTGAATGCAAGGTGTGTTTTTGTAATTACCTGAACCAGTACTGGTCGATACTTATTCGCTCGAGGTAGCCGGTGTACTGAATATGTGCTGGACAACTGAAATAGGTCTTGACATTTTTTTCCTTGCGGTAAATTCAGGCATTTAAGAGTTGTTCAGTTTAAAATGACCGTTTCAGTAGTAAAAACCGTTAATTGTGACAACAACTCATTGCAAAAGAACGCTACCGTATTATGCTCTACCGATAAATGCTTACATGTTTACATGATAAGCTAGAAATAAAATCACATGATATGCATCAGGCTTTCTCCTTCTTTTTTAGCATAAGAATCGGACATTAGGATAAGGTTAAATTCTATTTTAGAAGAAAATGTATCTGCGTTCCAAATATATCTTAGAATAGAACCACATATACCGCCACAAAAATCAGTTTATAATTACCAACAGTATACTTTCGCTCTTTGAGAGCCGAAATGAGCACATGATAACCTTATTACCCTGTTGACCTAGTTGTTCATTTAGAAAATTTCGATATCCCTTGTAAGTGATCTTACGTTACATTGATGATCTTTGCATTCACTTAAATCGACAGTTACGGAATTACATATAAATAAATCAAATGCAGTTCGAACCCAAAACATGCAAAATTCAACTTGTAATTGGTATGTGAATAGAACTGATTGTCAGGTATGTGTAACCTGTCAAATTGAATATGGTTTGCTCTATACACATACATAAGGAAACTTGTACTTGGACAATTGCTATGTCGCTTATACTAGTTAAATCCTCGTCATAAAGCATTATCTATACATTTTCTAATATATGACAAGTACATTTTATATTTTTACGGATATTATGATTTATTCTGAAGTTTGATATGTGATATGTTTCAGTTAATTGCTTTCTACTTTTGATTGTAGGGGAGTGTCTTGATATATGTTCAATATAAAAAAAAAAGAAGACACAAACAACAATTCTATATTCTATTTCAATGACCTCTACTCTGTAAATAATCATACTTTTAGAAGTATTTCGGCTGAAAAGCTTTTTTGTCGAAGTTCATATCGATCAATTAGATAAATTACAAAATAAATACCGTTCCATGTGATTTACACATACAACATAGTACTTAATATTGTCTATTTAACCACATTTGTGGGATAAATAACTTCAAACATATCAGTTTTTTTATGAAATTGTATCTAATCATTAGGAGCTTCATTTCGCTTTTATCTTACAGTTTGGTGGATATAACATGTCTCAATTTGTAATGAATAATTTTTTGCGCGTAGTTTTGCTTTCAGCAATATGTCAAAAAGTAATAAATGTCAAATTTGAAATAGAACACGATCGAAAAATTACAGAAAATGAAAATACTACAGATATTTATCAAAAAACTTTGCTTGGATGTACACGGCTCTGTTTTTACGAAAAGGAATGCCGCTCGGCAAGTTTTAGCATGGAAACATCAACATGTCGACTTGATTTTACCGAGCAACGTTGTGTTGTTACCGAAAAAAATGACACATGGAACCTGATTCGCAATTGCTTTTACAGTGAGTTTTGTTTATATAAATATGCATTTGCAACATCCTTTTGATGAGTAATGCAGCTGGAATATGATTAATAAAACAATGTCTTAGCTGATGGAGTAAGGTTATTTACGTCAACATCACATATCCATATTATATTTAATAAGTTTTGAAATATAATGGTTGATCGTAATAGAACATTTTTATTACAAATTACACACGGTTGTTCAATTTCTAGAGATTTAATTATATATTTTGCGAAAAAAATCACTTTGCAGAATGTCTGTAATTCACAACTCAGTGAGAATAAATTACAGGTTATGCATATTTTTAGGTTTTTTTTTGTCGTATAACACACACTACAAACTGCTCAGAGTCTGAAAAGACCAGTTTTTGTGCTCGACCAGTAAAGTCGAGTACAGATTTTACTCGACTAGACTCGACATTGTCTCGACAGTACTCAACTGTACTTAACTGTACTCGACTTTGATCTCGACTTTACTTAAAATGTCTTATTCAGTAATTGATGATCTTGGTGTAGTCTGAAATAGTCTCGACCAAGGCTCGACCTGTCTCGACCAGTCTTGACCAGTCTCGACCTGTCTCGACTCAGTGTCGACGAGTTTCGACCTGTCTCGACTAGTCTTGACCTTCAAATTTAGTCTCGACTGGTCTGAATCAGCCCATCTAACTAAATTAAATATTGATCTTACAAAATTCCAGATTATTTGGTAGTTGGTTCATTGCTGGGAAATTAAAGAAGTAAATTAATAGGAAAAAAAAAGCAAGAATTTGCAGTTTTTATTAAATTCAGATAGTCCTCTTTGATAATTTCTATAACTTTTTTAAATCAACTTGGATTTTCATAAAACTATACAGCTATCTCAATTATACATTGATCTTACTGAATCCCAGGTTGTTATGTAGTTTGGTGTATTGTTGTCAAATTTAAAAATTAAATTAATAGGTAAAAAGAAAGAGATTTTTCATTTTGGTTAAACTTTGATAGTCAACTTTAATTATTTCTATAACTTTTTCAAATCAACAAATAGATATATTTCTAATATAAGGTTACAGGTGCGGGATTTTCTCGCTGCGTTGAAGACCCATTGGTGGCCTTCATGTGTGGTCTGCTCTTTGGTCAGGTTGCTGTCTCTTTGACATATTCCATATTTCCATTCTCAATTTTATTAAACAATTTCAGTGATTTTGTTGGCTGTTGTTACATCATTAAAAAGATAAATATATAGCAATTGTATATAACCATGAAACCTATGTAGTTCTTTTAAGAATTTAGGAAAATAAGATTTAAGAAAAAAATTCACATGCCAAACCATATAAGTGATTTGATTTAACTATCTCTATTTGATAAATCTGAATGAAAAACCTTTTTTTATATATATTTTTATCTTATTGTGGCTGTTGCCATGTGAGTTAAAGAGAAATTTATTTTAACCGTAAAATTTTTAAGTTCGCATTGAATTCTTATAGTCACCTTGAAATTTTTTTGTAACTTTTTCGAATCAGTATGGTTTTTCATCAAACCTTTCAGCTATCATTATTATATATTTATCTTACAGAATACCAGGATGTTTTGTATTTTAGTGTATTGCTGTCAAATTTAAGGACTTAGGTAATAGGTAAAAAAGGCTAAAATTTTCAGTTTTGACTAAATTCAGACAGATACTTATAATTTAAATATGTAAATTTGACAGTAATAAACCAAATTAACAAATAACCTGTTATTTTTTAAGAATATTGTATAATGGAGATAGCTGTAGATTTTGATAAAAACCCAAGTTGCTTTGAAATAGTTATAAAAAAATTTAAAGAAAACTATCTGAATTTAGTCCAATCTGAAAATTCTAACTTTTTTTACCTTGGTTAATTAAATCCTTAAATATGACTGCAATATGCCAAACAACATAACAACCTGGGAGTTAGTAAGATCAATATACAACAGAGATAGCTGTACAGTTTTATGAAAATTCAAGTTAATTTGAAAAAGTAATAAACAAATGTAAAGTTAACTATCTGAATGCAGTCCGACTGATAATTCAATTTTTTTTTTAGCTATTAATTAAATCCTTAATTTTGACAGCAATACACCAAACTACATAAAGACCATGGATTCAGTAAGATCAATGTAAAATTGAGATAGCTGTAGAGTTTTGTAAAAATCCAAGTTGATTTGAAAAAGTTATAGAAATAATTAAAGATGACTATCTTAATTTAATGAAAACTGAAAATTCTTGCTTTTTTTACCTATTAATTAAATCCTTAAATTTGACAGCAATACATCAAACTACATTACCTGGGATTCAGTAAGATCAATGTATAATTGAGATAGCTGTATAGTTTTGTAAAAATCCAAGTTGATTTGAAAAAGTTATAGATATAATTAAAGATGACTATCTGAATTTAATCAAAACTGAAAACTCTTGCCATTTTTTTTACCTATTAATTAAATTCTTTAATTTCACAGCAATGAACCAACTACCTAATAACCTGGAATTTTGTAAGATCAGTATTTAATTTAGTTAGATGGGCTGATTCAGACCAGTCAAGACTAAATTTGAAGGTCAAAAATAGTTGAGACAGGTCGAGACTGGTCGAGACTGAGTCAAGACTGGTCGAGACAGGTCGAGACAGGGTAAGACTGGTCGAGACAGGTCGAGACTGGTTGTGCCTTGGTAGAGATCATTTCAGACTACACCAAGATCATCAAGTACTGAATCAGACTTATTAAGTAAAGTCGAGACCAAAGTCGAGTACAGTTAAGTACAGTTAAGTACTGTCGAGACAATGTCGAGTCTAGTCGAGTAAAATCTGTGCTCGACTTTACTGGTCGAGCACAAAAACTGGTCTTTTCAGACTCTGAGCAGTTTGTAGTGACATTGAGGGGTGTCAGGATTGTTCAAAGTAAAAACCAACCACAAGGAGGTCTTTCATAAGGCAATCCTGACACTATGAGATGTGTTATACGACAAGAAAAACCTACAAATATGCAATATCTGACTTATATCCCGTATATAATATTATTTTCGGAAATGGATTTTAGGAATTGTATCCTATTTTACCGATCATATTGAAGTGGGATATTTTTTCTTTCACTGTTAGGTAAAAACACGCTCTATGGCTAATTTTTAGTGTGAAATAAGACTCACTAATTAATATCTTGTTTAACGACATATTTATCACGGAAAAATAGATTATTTTTCTCAGCTATGGTTAACGAACTTTTCAGAATAATTGTTTTGCCTCTTATGATTTCTTATGCCTAGTAATAAAAGAACGTGGCTGTTCACCTATAGTTAATTTTAGGAACATTTAGTCATGTCAAAGAGTAAATGGGATTTATTTCAGCCTAATAAACGGAGGAAAAGATTGTTTCTGTCTAAACTTTAAAAATAATGTTCAAGATAGAAAATTGTACAATAAAACACAATAGCAACAACACTAATTACATGTTTAAGTACTCTGTAGTTTGCATTTTAATCGGGGTAAATAATGACCTGACGCAGGTTATTATGATATACCTGGAAGCATATTCCTTTGAAACTTGGTATCGTCCAAGTTGTTTCTTCAAAAGAATGACATGTCGTTCTGAAAGGAAATAACTCCATATAGGTATTAAACAAAATGATATCTACGAAGTAATTGGAAATTAAATATCATACAATAGCTAATTGGTAAACGGGGTTTTAATAAGACTTACACATAAAATTTTCCGTTTCTTTAAAACTATTCATACTTTGATCATGTGTTTATTTCTGCCATGTGTGTTTGATTGTTTAGGAAATGTCGTGTTTCATACTGTATATTTTTCCACTTTTAATTTGCTTTTTTTTCCCGTTTGATCAAGATCGAACTAAGAAACACATACTAGTTAAATATTTGTAAATCAAGGAACATATCTTAAATACCAGTGATATTTATCTGTTAATATTTCAGATCCAATAACTTGCAATGGATGTTTCAGCTATGGAGCATCGCTTTATAAAGTTTTCGATGATCCGAAAAACTGGACCAATGCAGTGGTAGGTGAAACATTGTTTTTTATTCAATACTACATTCGAACTAACTAGACCCCAAAAGCACGAAATGCTGTGAAGACTCTGTCGACAAATAATTAGGCCTGTGCTTATGGGATCCAATTAATATTCATGAAATATTATTCGTACAGTAAGAAGTAGATTAACTTAGCTGTATTTGGCAAAACCTTTATATGAATTTTTGGTCCTCAATGCTCTTCAACTTCGTACTTTATTTTGTCTTTTTAACTTTTTTTGATTCGAGCGTCACTGATGAGTCTTTTGTAGACGAAACGCGTCTGGCGCAAATACAAAATTTCAATCCTGGTGTCTATGATGGATTTATTTAGTCTTAAACGGACACTTTGTCTTAACATAACGTGAAAAGTCTTAACCTATAAACATTAAGTCATGGTTAGAGGTTAAATAATTTTTCTAAAATGTTCTGTTATAAACTCAGTACTGTTCAGATATTTGGCTTGAGGTCAGTGTTCAGAAGCAGTTCAGACTTTTACGATGACCATTATTGATCTTCACAGGAGGAATGTAGATGTCGTGGTGGATTTTTAGCAGAAATAGAGAGCGCCGAGGAGAATTCTTTTATTAAAAACATAGCTAAAGAAAGATTTGCAGCAACTGGAGGTGAGCGTGTTTTCTAACATATTTGTTTCAGTTTAAATTGGACATATGCAATCAAGGAGCTCTACAACTTCGTAGTTGATATACCCATGCGACTGTTTTGAGCTCTACTAATGATACATATGCAGACAAAACGTGCGTCTAAAGCATTCAATTATACATTTCATTTTATGTTATGCGTTTTAGTGTAAATATATACTGGAGATTTAATGAAACCGAAAAAAATACACATTTCAGATAGACATTTATTTTTAAGAATTACACTGGCTGTCATTCACAATAATATCGATTGTATTTAGAAACATTGCTCTTGATTAAGTTTCTACACTTTTTTAAAATCTTACTAGTGCCTTAATTTATGATCTCAAATAGGTAGACATTCATTAAAATAAATATGTATACTTTTGTATTTATACACTGAAGATGTTAAACCTTTCTCCACCATCATTTCACCTAATTAATCACACATAAACTTACACGACATTGTGCTGTACAATAGGCGAATCGCGGTTGTTTTCCATTAATAGATTCGATGTAGTAGCTGTTCACAAGTCGGACAAAAGATTGTTTCATATTCGCGCCCCACTGATGATACATATGCAGACGAGACGCGCGTCTGACGTATTCAAATATGCTTTCTTTAATGAGTTTATGAAAATAACGTCTGTGCAATCTTCGTATGAAGAAAAAACGTAATGTTATCTGATTTGACAAGCGATTGGTTTAGAAATACATCTCTGACAATTACTGAAACCTTTGACAAACATTTCAAAAATTATATCAAACTTGAACTGTAAAACAATATTCCCTTAAAACAAGGTAAACAGTTGTATTGGACTGAAGAGTATTTCATTCTCTCTCTCTTTCAGCAATTTATTATTGGCTTGGAGCATACAATTTTAATCAGGATAGTGATATGGAATGGATAAGGAATCCTAGCAAACCAATGCCCTTTACCGACTGGTTTGAAGGTGAACCAAACAGACTAAGATATGAGTTTTGTTTAGCATTATATAAACCTGTTGATTATTTATGGATCGATTATGAATGTCCAGAAGCCATATCTTTCATTTGCGAATTTAACCAAAATTGAAGCGTTCGTTTTCTTACACATTTCCAACAAGTCGTATTGGCATTATATCATAAATCATGTCTGAATGTGTTCCCATGCATTAATTTTATATCAAAACCGTTTCAAAGTAGTTGTGTATCAATAAATTAATTTGAACCGTAAGTGAATCAAAGCTATTCCTTTGTTTAAAGTATTCCTGTATTTGTCACTATGGGTTAATTGCTTTAAATCAAAATTCTTTTAAAAACTTTTCAGTTTAATCTGTTTTTCGATCTCATGAAGTTTAACAATATCATAAGTAATGCGTGTTGTATCTTTTGAGTACTGTCACAGATTTTTCTTTTAGTTTATTCAAATCTCTTATTCAACATAAAATTATGTTCTCATGAGATCATTATTTATTACAAACAAAACTTTACTTAACTGCAACCTTTACTGTAAAATAGTCGGAAACATTGTCAGGTCGGTCGAATTTGCTATAGATCTTTGTTTTCGAAGAGATTTTGAGTTATTGACTGACCATTTAGTTAGTATGTTTTGTTAATTCTATATTTTTTGCTTGATGGTAACATTTTGAAATTTATTTTTTAAAAAACACAAGCTGAAAAAAACAAGAATAATCACATTAAAGTAAATGCAAGACAAAAAAAAACAAAAAAAAAACAAGGGTAGTCAATGAAACGTAACACTCAATAGTAAAATTGAGAAACACGAACACATTCAAACAGGAATGAACTATGTAATGTAAACAGATCATCTTTATCATTTAAGTTAGGAAAAGTGGTTGGAACTTGGCAATGATAAATGCGACATTTTCTTGGTCATCGAGGACACAAAATTTGCTCTACCAAGTTACAATGTACAGCTCTTGTGAAAATTCAAAAGATTTCAATGTTGCTATTATTTAAAATTGATTGATTCAATATGTATCCTGTAAAACAAGGATCAAGGAAATTATAAAAATAAAATCAAGCTGTGGGATATTGTTAATACAGAGCTATACAACTTTCTGACTCTTAAAGTTAACCTAATATTGCGCTACATTAATGCCGAATAATACTTAATTTAATTCACCAATTACATGATAAGTTATTTCACAATTACGAAACTTAACTCCTATCTAATGAAAGGTTTTTTATCAAGCTTGTTTGTTTTCTAAAGGATGGCGTCTACTACTTCCGTTTCCTTTACCATGCTATTCATGTCATATAAACTTTTTTTCGGCAATTTGTTCATTTTCCATTTGATCTTACTGCCTAGTATTTTTTAGAATAATGGACAGGACTTGATACTCGACAATATTAGGCAATGGTGTAATGTATCAGTGCAACGACGACACGGGCTTAAATACATCCGTATCTATTTATTAATGAAAAGCACGCGACTTCATTCATACAACCGAACAACTACTCAAACATTTTGTACGCTTAAAAGAAGTATTACTTACTATTTCATTTAACTTCAAATTCTCAACAACAAAACATACAGTTAAGGCAAATTGCTGATAAAAAGAATAATGGCAATTTATTATTTGATACAGACTTCATAACTTTGAATATCAGCTCGACCTAGCGGTCTCATTTGATATTCTTGCTGATAAAGTCAGTATCAAAAAAAAATGCCATTATTGTATATGTCTCTGGTAAAATTATGAACTTGTTTTCTCTTTTTAAGAGAGTGCCTTCCTTACAGTTCCTGCAAATGTATCATATTTTAATACATACTCTATCTCTATCATCGATAGTCCCAAATGGTCCGTCCTTTTTATCCATTTTACCTCATCTGCAGTTATTTAATTGTTTAACTTGTTCTTGTCCTTATTTCTAAGAAACAATACTTACCTTCTTACTTCGTCCTCTTCGTGCATACTTGCACATAAGGCCATCAACAAGATCCTCAAGGAAAAAAAGAACAACTATATAAATAAATTTATTTGCATGTATGTACCCGGATGGGAAACGTTGTTCATTCCTTTTGGTTTTAATCTATTTTACTTTGAATTTCATGTTTTTCAGTACCTTAGTAAATACGTAGTATCTAACTAAATCATGATTATTGTATTTGTGTAACCTTTACGTATTATTTGAATTGTAAATAAATGTGTATTGTATATAGATATAGCGTGTGTACTTAGTAAATAAGGATTATTTGAAACCAAAAAAATGTGTGTATTTGAAAAATAGTATATATCTGGTTGTTGGCGAATAAAATGTATATAATAAGGCACGCAAATCATAAGATGTCGTTACGTTTCGTGTAATTTTTCAGCTAATTCTAATATTGTAGCTATGTTTGACTACATTGAAAATGTTGTATCTAAACTATATTTATCTATTATATGTATCAAATACGGCATTTCGCATTTCTCTTACATTTGAGCTCCCTTGATGTAAATCAATAATGAAAATAACGCTTAATATCTGTGTAGCAGCCGGAGTGATCTTCTGGATTTACGTTCACCGGGAACGCTAAACAAGTTGCTCTCTTTAAAAAAAGAAAAGCAGTACGTGAACCCGAGACCGCTGACTGTTCACCAAAAATATTGTTGCTGAATTTTTGTTTGCCATTGATTTGAAATAACTAACTGTGAATAGAATAAGATTTATGCATGCACGTGTTTTTTTTTGCGCAAGAAATAGTAAATAAAAAGCATACGCACTGATACTCTTGATAAGCATACGGATTTGCAGCATCACATATATTAATCTTGGCTTAAATCTAATGTTTAATAGTTGAATTCGGATGTCAAACTCCCTTACTCAAGTGTTTTACTCCGGATTCTGTGTGAAAGCGTAATCATTATACTTAACTTTATACTTGATATTTAATTACATTCTAATTATTAAAAACTCATATGTTTTGTCGAAAGGCAAATAGGTTCTAACATATAAATGATGCAACCTAGTCTTTATTTTTTTTTTGCTATCCGATCTGTGTACAAATGAACTTTGATTGTTGAATTATAAAATGTCACGTGGCAGCCTACTCATAGATGGACCGTATCAAAGACATAGATAACTGCCTTTATAAATGATCGACCATTTTCGAGAAGTTCCGAGAATCTTGTATCCGGAAACATTCGAATGGCTCATTGAAGCTATCAAAACTCCCCAATATATAAGCATGCACCCCTAATTGGGTAAACGCGAAAAAAAAATCGTAAGAAAACAGTTGTATTTTTCTGTCTAGTTCAATCAGTCTGTAAAAAGTTTGCGGTAGATATAAAAATAATACTTTGAACACTGTTTGCTTCCGAGCGCTTTTCTAATTCTTCTTTTCTGATTTTGTATTTCAATTGGTGTTCATTTACCCTGTTACAACTGACAAAGTAGTATGATGTGTTCGTCATTAATTCGTTTACGTTGTTGCTGCATGTCATTGTAAGCTCTGGAATACTTTCTTTCAATTTCAATTTGGCCTTTGTTTTAAAATTTCAGATTTTACAATACTAAGGTTGCAATGGAGATACACATATTTTATTTGTCTTCCTATTGTTATTATCATTACAATTATTATATTATCATTATCAGGTCATCAATTTTAATCGTCACAAATGTTATTTCTAAAATTGTTGTTGTTTTTTTAAATTGAAACCATTTACCATGAGTTGCTTTAACATGTTTAACTAATAAACGATTCAACGTGTTGTTTTGCCGAATGATAACGTCTATTAATAACTCCTTGTTGTCATATTTGAAATTGTTCTATGTCATTATCTATTAGTCTACATCCACCCGTCTACGCAACAGAGTATCAATCTGAATTTTTTAAGTTGTTTGATTACAAGGCAGAAGATACCAGAGACAAATTGAATACTCATAAGTAAAAGAGAAACTGACAACGCCAGGGAAACGAAAATCAACAAAAAGAAAAACCAGAAGCTGATCAAAGAGGGAGTTTCACAGGGTGCACGTGACATATATCTGAAGTTTGCAAAAATGGTGTACCATATAGAGTATAATTCAAATATTGATTAATTTATCAATAAGTCTATCACTAGTGATATAATTGTTATTCTATTTCCAATACAATAGATTTACCTCAAAGTAAAATGAATGCACCTAGACATGTGATTCAGTGGTTTGTTATTGTAGCCGTATATCATATTCGTTTTCGTTTATTATTTTGTACTTAAACCAGGCCGTTAGTTTTCTCGTTTATATTGATTTACAATTGTCATTTCATGATCTTTTATAGCATACTATCCGTTATGGGGTTTACTCATTGTTGAAAGCTGTACGATCAACCATTGTTGTTAATTTCCATGTTGTTTGGTCTATGGTGGAGAATTGTATCATTGGCAATCAAACCACATCTTCTTGACCTTATATCACTGATGCACGTGTATTATAATTTACACTTACAAATTGACATTATCGTTCACACTTTTGCTCGTAGATGATGATGATGATGATGATGATGATGATGATGATGATGATGATGATGATGATGATGATGATGATGATGATGACGATGATGATGACGACGACGACGACGACGACGACGACGACGACGACGACGACGACGATGACGATGGATGATGATGATGGATGATGATGATGATGATGATGATGATGATGATGATGATGATGATGATGATGATGATGATGATGATGATGATGATGATGATGATGATGATGATGATGATGATGATGATGATGATGATGATGATGATGATGATGATGATGATGATGATGATGATGATGATGATGATGATGATGATGATGATGATGATGATGATGATGATGATGATGATGATGATGATGATGATGATGATGATGATGATGATGATGATGATGATGATGATGATGATGATGATGATGATGATATTTGCCGTGGTAAACCATATGTTACCATTTGTTTTGGAGACACCCCCTTCAGCAGTTTCTGTATCCGCCTCTGCAAACAATTTCACAACATGTAATCAACATATTATCAGAAAACAAAAGACTGAGTAACACGAACCTTAACAAAAGAAAAACATGGGTGATCTCAGATGATTCTGGGACTCATGCGCCATCCATCAAATTGCTCATGATAAGTCTCATTCGTTGATATCACAATCGGAGAAAGCAGGAAAAAAATGTTATAACGACAACTGAAACGTGTAAATTTACTTCAGAGATATCATTGTTTTTAAACTGGTTTAATTATCATGGCCTATCATGCGATTTATTGTTCAACAAATTTAATTATCATTTGATCGAAGTCATATTAGTATCATCGTAAACTTTATCTTTCTACAAATTTCTAATATTGGGATTTCAAATAATTAATTTATAGCTTTATTTAATAGATATTTTCATTAAAGTTGGGTTTTAAAAATAATTAACTTTTTAAAACCTTTGATTGCAGAATTCAAATACTAAATGTTTAAATTTGATTGGATTTTATCCACATATAGTTGATTAATAGCTGAAGATCTAACACGAACAATTTATTTATCAACATGAAGTAGAACTGTCATCTAAGTTTTCTTATATAGCATACAACAACAATATATGCTTACAAGTAATTGAATGTTATTGCAATAAAAAGGAATATACGGAACCTTGAATATTACTATAGATAATTAGTTAGATATATATATACTGACAATTTTTTAAAATATAAACATAGTTTTTAGCTTTTCCGAAGTTGCGGGTAAGAGAAGAATTTTGCCGAATCCGTTAACTAATGACAACAACATGAATTGTTCCATGGCATGTAATTAATCATGAAACGAATAGTTTAAATTATTGTAATATTAAGTTGAGTACAGATTAATTATACCAAACTATAAATTCGATTAACAATGGATATGCAAATAATCATAATGATTTTCTTAATGAAAGTTCACGTAGTAACCGGGAGAGAAATAGCGGTGTCTTTTAAAATACAAAAATACCGACAAATATTGCCAAACATGCACACCTACGACGTGCACTCAGAAAGCATAATCAAATGTGCTAAGTTTTGTTCTGATCAAAATTTATGTTGTGTAGCAAGTTTTGCAGTACTCACATCAATTTGTCGGATAGATACATCGGAAAATTGTTCTCTTGCGACTTATTCAGACATTGGATGGAATATTATTCGCAAACAACTGTATTGTGAGTATAAATCTTGAATAAAAGCTATCAAATAAGTCATAGATAATACACATGTATAGATATTGTGTTGCTGATAGTTTACATGAGAACGTTTGGAACGAAAAGATATTTTCATGGTGAAGTTAACAAACTTTTTGTTCTAACAAATAGTAATGACAACTTTTGTCCTAATGTCATAAAGAAACACGCTTTGTTCTTGAATTTGTTTTTCGTAAAAAGTTTTGTTATGAATTAAGCCGCTAGTTTTCTCAATGGAATTGTTTCATATTTTTCACGTCGGGGCCGACTATGCGGTATGGGATTTTCTCATTGTTGAAAGCCGTACAGTTGCTTATATTTGCTTACACCCATTTCATTTGAACTTTGATGGATAGATGTTTCTTTAGCAATCGTGCCACATCTCCTTATTTTATATGTTTATTAAAATCACAGTGAGGTTACTCTCCAGTTCCATAAACACTCGATTTATGACTATTTTTGTCGCAGAGTACATTCTTATTTTTGACCCAATATGTGTACTACCGATATATATATACACCGTAAATGAATCAATAACAATACAAAAATCAGTGCAAAGTTTTGTTAAATTTTACCAAATTAGAATAATTGCCATGCGTCATGTTCATGTCAAAATGATATTGCATTCAGTTTAAATCGTAGTGAAAACCTGAGGATTGGAAAATAACTTGTGAGTAGCTGCGACTTGCTACCAAAGGATAGTTATCTATTTAGTTATGATATGCCTTCATAAGAGTCGTGTGCGAGAATGTCAATGGAAACACAGTGGCGTCAATCTCAGCCATAAGTGAGGCATGTTATGCTCAGCTTCATAGAAATCTTTGACGTCTAAGTAAATTTTTCTGTTTCTTAAATAACATATAACTTAAAAGTTCAATATCCTTTTATTACAAGATAACCTCTTAGGAATAACCCATACTCTTCTGGTGACTCTTTTAGACTTAATCTTAAAGCATTGCATATCAAACTATATTTTTCCAAAAGCAAACGCCATTGATGATAGTTTGGTTCTGTATATCAAAATTTACATAACATTTACCGTTTGTTTGGATTATCAAAACGAAGCAGAAGCTACCAAAGGGACAACAGACAACTTGATTACCTACAAAAACTAACTAAATATTTGTTGGATAATATATTTTAACAAACTTCATACAGCTAATGATTAACTGTTTATGAATAATCAGCATGATAAACCCTTACGCAATGAAACCATTTTTTAAAGAACAAACCCTGAATTTTCTGTTTCAAAGGTTCTAAGCCCACCAAAAATTCGAACCGTTTTGTGTTAATGATATGATATTATAAATGTATGTACGTCTTCATATTCCATATTGCTGAGCCATTCTTACAAAAAACATATTTTGCAAAGATTGCATATACTGTGCTCTGCTGATATATGAGCAAAATATTGTTTTCTCCATTTACAGAATGTGTCCAATAAACTTTTACTAGTAAAAAAAGAAAAAACAATAGGAACATTTAATTTGTTTTTGTGGTTTTTTTTTTGTGTGTTTTTTTTTTTTATCAAAATCGTATTTTTGTTTTGAAAAATATGATCAGTCGAGTAAACCGTGTATTTCAGACGATCGGAAGGGACATTTTTCCATTACTGTACAGGTACAATGCATCATTTTCTTATATTGTATCAGGTGATTTAAAAGGGAAGATGTTACTATGTGAGCAATATAGAAATATATAAAAATATAAACAAAGGTCAGAAAGACATCTTCACCACGAATGTCACATGTGGCACATGATCTCCTTACTCATTCAAATCACCTGAGATGACATCCGAGTTTTGTTTGGGTTCGTGATGCTCAGTCCTCGTTTTTTTATGTTAGGTTTTGTTCACTGTTAATCGTTTTTAGTTTTCCGTCATGGCATTGCCAGTTTATTTTCGACTACTGAATTTAAATTTCTTTTTGGTTTATTGGGTTTCTTTCTGTTCTTATAAGAGCTTAAGTTTTAGCTTCCCAATATTGTATTGCATGTATCTGTGTTAAGTTTTGCGATTTGTCGTTGCAACAAATCTCTTCCTTTTAACTATTTTAAAAAATGCAAAATTGAGACAGCTTTAAGTTCTGTTAGCACATCAATGAACTCTAAGTTTAATCCAATCATAGAATTATAGAAATAAAAAACTCCGATTTTGACTTCCAAATATTACGTCATAATTCCAAACTTACTTTTAAAAATATTGTTCATCCATGTGCTGGTCAATTCCTTTATGATATGACTCTTTCATGAATGAGCAATTTATTAGTTTGATTTTTGTCATTGGTTTGGTGTTAAAATTCAATTATGGATTTATGTCTAGAAATATTACTATACTGTAAAGGCACTTTGAAGAAAGACATGGTATGGCAAAAAAAAAAGTATATTAATTATCAGGTTTTATATATTGGAATCAGTTTTAATGGAAAACAGAGATTGCTAAATAATTCATGTTTTTACATTACAGTTCCTCCATCATGTACTGAATGCTTTAGTTACGCATCGTCAATATATAAAGTAATTGAGGACACTGTTAACTGGGAAATGGCACGGGTAAGGCATGTTTAGATTTGGTTCTGGAATAATTGAGGGTCTTGGTGGACGTCCTTTATTTCTGTAATTTTTTTTAAGGTCATATTTCTCTGTTATTTGTATGCTTTTCCCATAATTCTCCATTCTTGATATTTTAGCACCCCATTATTCAGTATTATGTATTTTATGACCTTTTTCTATATTCTTTATTTTTCGGATCATATATTCTGCATTTTCTACCCATTATTCTATTTTCTGTATACGCCATCCAGACCCTCATAATTTTGATTGTAAGGATAATAGTTATAAGAGTAGATATAGATAAGAGTTTCGCCTCTATTATATTGTGGAAATGTGTTTGTTTTGTGCTACGAAAGGCTGTTGTCCCAATCTCTGGCTGCGTAAAAATAAATTTTCGAATTTTCTATGCATAACACGGAGATTTTAGAAGTAAGATCAAATGATGCTTTACTCTGAGTCCGGGAAATATCACAATGATGCGTAACATATCTTTTGTAGAATTTTACCCAGTGAAATGTTAAATTCATAAAGACATTTTGTAACTGTGAAATTTGCAGTTAGGAAAAAATAAAATCAAAGCTGAGTTCAGTAAAAAAATAGGCTTTGTATCGATCGCACCATTAAAAGTATATTAACAATTTTTTCATTCAAGTTATTAAAAGTGCATTTTGAATAATATGTTTAGAGTACTCACGTATTGACTTTCCTGTCAATCGTGTTATTTAAAAGTATTAATTAAAAAAAAACATTAAACAATAACGACCAAAGAATGATGTTGATTTGATTCAAGATGAAGTAGATCTATTTAATTATAATTAATTTGAAACCTGTCATTTTATTGTATTTCTTTTTAATAGGATAATTGTTATAACTTGGGAGGAAAACTAGTGGAAATGGAAACACAAGATGAGAATGATTTCATTAAGTCTATTTTAACCGTGAGAAATGCAAACATAACTGGAAGTAGGTTGATTTATTGCATTTTTGAAATTTTCAATTTCTATTTGTCAGTTAGATATCTATCAGTTACTTTCAAATACAATAGATACCGCCACTTTGACGATATCTTTTATGGGATAAGTGTCAACAAAAATAAGTGGACTCAATACAAAAAAAAATAAATGGAAAAAACAACGAAACAAATAAAAACAGACAAAACAAAAAATAGACAAGTTTAATAATGTTAACTCATTACACACGATCGGTTGAGAATAGGAGAAGACATAAACATGAGCATCTTATCAACAGATAAAAACACATGAAACATGCACAAAACATGCATACTATATTAAAACACTCCCTTACTTAATCAAATAATGTTAGCAATCGTTGTAATTTTTGGACAATGCCATTAACATTTCTCTTCGCATTCCTTAATGCTTAAGTTTATGAGAATTCATACGGATATATCAATATAAAAAATTGGTCAATATTATTTCAATTCTTTACACAAATATAAGTATCAACTGTGAAAAGATTGTTCCATATGTAGTTTCAATAACAAAAAAAGCATAAATATTGTATTTCATATCAAGTGTTTTGTTGTTATGAAATCTATGAAGTACACACGCATCGAAAGTGTTCCTTAAATATATGATTTTGGCTTATAATGTGCATCTAGAAAAGGTTATACAACCGAGTTTAATAGTATCGTTAAAGTTCATCGTCACAGTTCATTGTTTGTAAGTTTGATCTGTCGCCACTCGTTTCTTGTTTTTATTTTATTGATTGATGATTGTTTATGTGTTAAACGCAATTTTCAGCCCTCTTGTCTACTTCGTGATGTCCAGGTTAATGCCTGTACCAAGTCGGGAAAATGACAGTTGTTTTCCATTCGTTTGATGTTTTTGAGCTTTTGATGTTGCCATTTGATAAGGGACTTTCCGTTTCGGGTTTTCCTTGGAATTCAGTTTGTTTGTTATTCTACTTTTTTATTGATGGAGGAATCCGGAGTGCCCGGAGAAAACCACCAAAAATTTAGGCAGGAAAACTGGCAATCCTAGTCAATTAAGATGGGAATCAAATGCACCTGCCATGTGTAGGGCTCAAACTGACCTTAGTTTTAATAGTGGTAGTGATACACTGGTTGAATTACTTTGTCCCCTCGGCCACTGATGCCATGTACTACTTGACGGAAAATCGTTCTACTCAAACCGAACTACACTTTTTTTGTCACTTCCACTGGGCATTTTTTTAAACGAAAAACTTGAAATTTGAATTTAAAATAGAGTTTATAGCAGGAATATTCATACTTCAACTCTAAAGGCGAAATTGTATTGAAAATTCGCAAAAAATTACAGGAATTTAAGAATGTATTGTGATTTTAATTCTTAAATAGAATATAGAACACAAATACGTGTATAGGTTAATTCCTTTTGGCTTTATATAGTTTTATGACACCAATTTTCACAGATTCCTTTCATACTTCCATTGAAAGAGGAGTTTCTCTTATGTACTTTAATGATCTACAACGTTATAGAAGATGGTATGATTTTAAACGATAACATTAATTGCATGTTTGAAGTTTCAACAGTAAATTCTTGTATATATTATGAAATTATATGAATTATGGTTATTTGCAAAAAATGTTAAGGCCAAGAAGAAAGTTGATATAATTGCATTTTTCTTTTATTTATCAAGTCCTGCCAAATCAATTACATTTACACACACATATTTTATTGATCAAAACGTCGCATAACAAGTGCCCTATACTGAAAGTGTTTCGATATCTGCCTTACGAAAGTGTTTATTTCTTGATATTTGCAGGTAAAAGTAAAACAAAAAAATTACCAAACTCCAGGGAAAATTCAAAACGGAAAGTTCCTTAACAATTGGCAAATTTAAAAGCTCAAACACACCAAACGAATGGAAAACAACTGACTTGATACAGGCATTTTCTTATGTAGAAAACGGTGAATCAAGATAATCATGTATCATTTGTTAGTTTGATACGGAATATTCACCAACAAGGTCTTGGTATCGTCCGATGAACGTTTTTAGAAAAAGACGAGCCGTTCTTTGACATAACCATGGTTCATCAGCTTTTTGTTCAGACACTGGTGACGTTTTACAAAGTTTGAGTAGAGCTGCAAGCTCTTGAATACCGAATGAGTTGGGAAATGTATATCCCATATGCAGGTGCAGTTGGTATATTGCTACTAAGGAAAAGGAAATTAATAATTTCAAAATCAAAATCGTCTCGTTGGTAAGAGATGACTGCTGATTTCAAATGTGAGGTATAAGTCTAAAAAAGAAACAAAGGGGAAAACCTATGTTTCTTTGAAAAAAGTTAGTAATATACGGGATCATTTCATTTTTTCGCAGTACTTTACTTATTGATGTAGGAACTTGACAATCCTGTAGGCTGTTAATTTTTTAATCAGTACAAGTTTTAAAAAAGGCACAATTACTTGCCATTTCTTACTCCTGCAACGCAGCCTTGTTGTTATTACTTAGCATTTGAAAATTTAACAATCTTACTAAAATCTTTCAAATTCTTGTTAAGATTTTTAGTTTTTAAATACATTATTCATATACATTTTGTAGATACAATCTATTACCTTGGTGGATACAAGTTCAAAGCCGACGAAAATATCAGATGGATTAGTACTTCAAGCTTAGAAATGCCGTTCACTGATATGGCACCGGGAGAACCAAACAATCCTACTAGCGAACTGTGTCTTGGAACAATCAAGTACTTTGGTTTTCAATGGGTTGATTTGCCATGTGCCTGGTTACATCCTTACATATGCGAATTTGTCCATTAAATTAGAATACATTCATAAGAAAGATTTATTTTAAATGAATCAGCACTGTGTATGTAGTTTCTGTAATTCATTTATGGCCATGTATAGTTTCAAACAAAACAAAATCTTATTAAAGGTCAAATAATATCTCTTCCTTTTCATGCTTTTGTTTATATAAAAAAGGAGATGGAAATTTACTAATAAAAAGTGAGAAAAATTACAGCGTATACGAAGGAAAGTCAAATCCGAACAACCTTGCATGTATACTCAGAAGCTATCTCTGTTAAACGCCTGTCGTCATGTTTTTGTTTGTCTGTTTGTCTTTATATTTTTGGCCATGGCGTTGTCGGTTTGTTTTCGATCTATGAGTTTGACTGTCCCTCTGGTATCTTTCGTCCCTCTTTCATCAAGAACGCCTAGAACCAGAAAGATTAACATCAGAAGCGTAAAGTCTTCAGGAGCTGTATGAACAACAGGGACTAATAAGGAGAATAGCAATAAACTATTGCAAGAAACATTGCCTTAAGGAATTAGAATCTAAGTTTTTTTCATAATTTCTAAATTTAAAAACGGAAATTTATACTTAGATATGAATTCAGTGTCGACGCTTCGGATATAGAGCTAGATCATTAGATATGATATATATATATATATATATATATTTAAATGCCTTATTTATGCATATCATTAATGTCTTGCTATTAATTAATGTACATTCAGAAATCAATGCGTACATTTATAATTGCGAATCATTCATAACAGCTGGTAAAAGTGCGACATCTTAAGAATGTAATTTCAAAAATTTTGTGAAGGATCCTCACTACTGATATTATCGATGCGAGTTTTGTAATTGCGAACCTGATACTGCGGTTGCATTTTTCACATTGATAAAAACATCGCAATACTGACTGAATTTACAGTTTTTTATTATTTTGATTGTTAATTTTCAGTTTGTATAAGTTCCACTTTATGTTTTTTTTTCTATTAGTTAAAACACTATAAAGGATAGGTAAAAACTGTTAGTACACAGAATAAGAGCAATATAAATATCACACAACATGAACGATTGGATAACTTCTAAAATGATTTTATGGCCCTTAAATGATCATTTTTTTATTTATTGTTTGTGTCTTTTATCTCGAAAAATTGATCAAATAGGTAAAAACTGTAAACAGTATCAATAATCAGCGATGCAAGATCTACACACAAAATAATGATCGAACCATTGGATTACTTGAAGCGTATAGCCGTTGAATGACGATGCTGACTAATTTTAATGTTTTACTTATACTTCTATAGAAAACTATTACCATGATAAGTAGAAACTGTAAACAGCGAAATATATCTGTCATAAACAATCTTCTAAAAATGTTACATGACCAAAACAACTTGATGACTCCTTGTCAATTATCTTAAAAAGTATTATATAAAGGTTGACACTGTATACATCAAAACTGACAAGATCTACTATTCTATACTTAAACCATTGACTCCATATTGCATCACAGGACATAGAATAATCATCGAGATAAAAGTGATGCAGAGACGGAATAAGAAGGACTGGATATACGGATCTGGTACCCTTTGTAAAGATAATGTTATAAAACAAGACAGGCAAATGATATATACAAAAGGAATATCGAAACTAATGAGTCGAAAACAAACTGACAATGCAATTGAAAAAATCTGAAAAACGACCAAAATTCATATAACAGTCTACAAAACAAAACATAGAAAACCATAGACTGAGAAACACGTGTTCCACCAAATACAAGATGTGAAATAAAGTGTTCAGTATGGTATTAATGCGATGTTCTTTTAACGTTTCTTGAACTATTTCTTAAATTCGGGATTTGCCACTCATACTGATATTTCAGCAATTATTAAACTTAGATATTCAACAGCACATGAATCATGAAGTTAGTTTTTCTTTTGACTTTAACATTAGCCGCTTTCACATCATTTTTTTTTTTGTTAAGCTCATATTCTAATATCCGTATTTGTAATTTCATTTTGTTGTTAGTATATTTTTTGACAAAAAACCACAAACGTTAGACTATACACATGTAGTCTATATACAAATAAGAAGATGTGGTACGATTGCAAATGAAACAACTTTCCACCAGAGACCAAATGACATAGACTCTAATAACTATAGTTCACCTTGGGTGAAAGTATGTTTTACATTGATATTTTGGTGATTTAAAAGGTAATTGATGTTTAGTATGATATTGGCGGGCCCATCTCATTATAGTGTGGATTTCAAAAGCAATACTACATATTGGAATCGAATTTGACTAATAAAAAACTAAAAGCAGATTAAATCATGAAATATCTAGGAAACAAATGACAATTTATCAGATGTTTTTCTTTTTACTATATTTTATCATCATTAGACAATGACATAAGTCATGTTTCTCTATTAAACACAATATGCAAGAATCTTGCGTTCCAATTCTCCCGTATCTTACTTTGTAAGGCATTAGGATTATTTTGGGTTTTAAATGCGTTTTGAGCCTTCTTTTCACATGTCGTCAAGATTATGTCGTGGTGAATGAAGCTTCAGAGATATTTTTGACAACCCTTCTAAAAAACAAATTTGAAGAAACGGCTCGAAACAATTTTCTTTAGTAATTCAAACTTAGCGGTACATATTATAAAACAAATACTACTGCTTGTTGGACCCTTATTGGTGGAGCAAGCCGGAATGCCCGAAGAGAACCACCGACCTTCGATAGGAACACTGAAAATCGTAGTAAATTAAGGCTGGAGTCGAATACACATGCCACGTACGGAGTTCGAACTCAAAATCTCAGTGTTGACAGGCTAGTGATGCAGAAGTTGAACTTCTATGATCACTCGATCCTGAGGCAAATGTGTAACAAAACAAAAAAAACAAAAAAACACTGATATATACAGAAATATATATATAGGTTTTATCCTGGTTAAACGGAAATATCGACATTTTCATAATTTTAAGATAATTTCATATTATTTTGATAAAAGCAACTATTGGTTTTTCGTAATGTTTCAGTTGATATTGTACTGGTAGCCCCCCTCTTGAGAACCTGTATAATTTTCCATGTATTGTAAAATAATCTAACACATACATTATAATGCTATTGAATACAATCATTTATATGATATGAAATGGTATTCTCGTTTCAAGTGAATAATGCTCATCATATTTATGGATAAGTGAAGCAGGGACATTATAATTTCAAGAGGACCTAAACTTAGCTGTAAACCTAATTAGAACACGTATTTCATTCATGTTAAACCGTTAAATTTTCTATCGCGTCAAATATCTTGAAAACCGTAACATTTATACATGTAATAGTGAACAAAATGATCAAAAAATTACTTTTTCATTTGAATGTTATAAATTTGATACTTACAGGTTTGTTTTTTTCCGAACACAAGAACTTATGAAATTAAATCTGTTTATTCTGATGTTAACGCTTATAATATGGTACTTTTAAGTCAGAACACGACCGACGTGTATTCCGAAACACTGAACCAATGCTGTGTGTCAAGCTATTCAAAAGAAACGTTAACATGTCGGTTAGACAGATCCGGAAAATGTTGCATCCCAATTGAATCCCATAACAAATGGACATATGTTGGACGAAAACAATATCGACATTACCACATAAAATTATCCGATGTATTTGAATAACATTCGTAAAAAATATAGAAACAGTTATGACCTGATATACCAGTCAATGCGAGTATACTCGTTTGATATTGTGACAGTGAAGACATACATTTTTAACATAAATGCATAGTGTACTTCGGATTGACATGATTTATGAATAACTTTCTAAAATTGTCCTTTTATAAATTTTGAAATTAAAAAATAAACTAAGAAACTGCCTCATGCAAAATTGACCTAAGACGAATTTTAAAAGCTATATTCTAGGTCCTCTTGGTTATATAGCTCTTAAACTGTTTTGGTTCTTATACATCCTAGCTTACAAATAATTTACCTTATTTCGTTTTATTTTTCTTCACTCAACATTACGACACGTGTCAAATGCCTTTCAAACATATATCATAATATCTGTCGTACTCATTTTAACATCATACATACATCTGCCTATAATCAAGAGGCTGAACGTCAACTTGACGATGCTATTTTCTACCGAAAACAAGACTCTGAACCAACAACAACTTCTAGCACATAATTAACTGCTAGTCTGGTAAATATTCACGGAAATGGTTTCCTCTACGAGAAAACTCATGCAGACTGTTATCTTTAGCCCCAAATTCATAAGGCTAATAACCAAAGAAGACACATCCCTTTAGCAAACGGTCATTTGTAAAAATATTCGGAAATCGTAGACTTCTTCTTCGTTGAAACATAGTTTTGTCCGGGTTGTTACCGTAAAAAAGAAACAAATCGTTCTGAAAGGAAACTAATTCATTTGGGAATATAAAATTAAACGATAGCATTAATAGAAAACAACAACAATAAAAATTGGAGATAGAGATATTTCTTACCTTTATGTGTATACGTAGTTTCTTTTTAGGCAAATGGCATTGACAACAGTAACTCCTGTTAAACTGACAATATCACAAACCTGAACGTGTTAACCGTGGAAACGTTTCAAAGTTTATGAACAATGACTGTCGGGAATAGACAGCATATACATGACAGGAATAATGATAATGATATTAATGAATATTGTACATCTTATTAGAAGTTACATGAAGTCATTTCTCCGAAAATTCCACGGACACCATCACGAGTTGGTTAAACGTTAAGGAATATAGGTGTCTCAGATGACCACGGATATATTCCAATTCTCCTCCATTGTCCAAGGGTTTGTACTACCATTGTACATGAGCAACACAACGGGTGTCACATATGGAGCAGGATTTACTATTTTCCGGTTTTTGGTAGGGTTCATGTTATTAAGTCTTTAGTTTTCCATGTAGTGTTTCGTAAACTTGTTTGTCTTCGGTCGTTTTTTCGTTTTTTGTCATTGCATTGTCGATTTTTTTTTCGACTTTCGAGT